AACAAAGCTTGTAAAATCTCTTTATAGCAATTAGCATTTAAAATAGCAAAAATAACTACATAGTGTACTGGCATAAAACAAAGTGTAGCTTGAAGTTATTTTTATTTAACATATATCTCATAGAAACCAACAGCTGTGTCTTCATTAGAAGTAACCTCATCTCCACAGACCCTCAACTCAATATAGTCATTAGTAGTGGTGCTACCATAGTCTCTGTGAAACCATGGTAGACCTGATGCAGCACAACAAATCCCTTCATTAGACCCACAGCCTTGACCATCCCAAAGTGGATCAGAGGTATGAAGGGTTGCTCCTGGAAAGCCACTAGCACCAGATTCACAAAAATAGTTTGTTCCAACGAATGATTGAACTTGTTGATAGCTGCCTGGAGGAGTAGCACAGGGACAGTTATCGGGATAATATGTTGTGTCACTGAAACCATTCATAAATGTCCAGACATGTTGACGAGGAGACCCACGAGTGAGGCTAACACCATCAACATAATCAGCATTAAGGTTATTGTGATTGGGGCCATTGTGAATACTCACTGCATCTGGTGTATAATACTGATATCCTGTTACTCTACCACAGATTTGAGAGTAACTGATACCATTAGATGGAAACTGAATTGATGCAGTGCAACCAGCACCACCACTTGGTCTACCACAAGCTCTAACTCCTCCTGTCTGGTACAGTCTAAACCCAGAAGGACAATTCTGTGTAGCATCAGACATGTCCAGATATGCTAGTCTTGTCCATCCTCCTCCTGAACCACACAGCTCATCCATGTTACAATACGTATAAATAGCAGTTCCTCCATTTAAAGGTACAGTGAGATACACACCTGATGGACTATTTGGTTCCTGTGATTTTATTTGTTGACAAGATGTAGGAAGTGCTCCTGTGTCATTATGCAGTACTAATAGTTCCTGTGCCACTAGCAGGATATCATTAACCACTCCAGCAGTAGAAGTACTGGTGTCATGATGATTAGAGAGTGTGTTTATTATATTTATTAGCTTCTGAGCAGAATCTCCAGTTGTTTTCAATAAAGTCTCTGTAATGTTAGTCTGCTCAATATCATTTTCTGTGCAAGCAGTTGTCTTGTTAAGTATTGCACGCATTTGAACTTGAACTTCGTTCCTTATGACATCGCTAAGCTGACTAACTTGATTTCTTAAATCCTGATCATTTTGTGTCATCTCATGTAATAAGACATCGAATCCAGCACTACAATTGCATTGAGTAGTAGAAGGTGTTGTACCAGAAGTAGGATCACTTCCAGTTATTCCAGGACTCTCTACAGCAGCATCACATGATGATATACTACTGACTTGGCTGAGTGTGGCTGTGGTTATTCCAAGAACAATGCCAAGTGCAAAGAATATCATCAGTGCCACTATGATTAGGAGACTTATTCCAAACTTTCCAAAGTTGTAGCTGGAACTAGATTGGTGGATCTTTATTGGAGTGTCATCAACTCTGTTATCTACAAACCCTTTCCTATCATCATAATCCTGCAGCTCATTCACTTCGTAAAGGTTATCCATTATTGCAGTTGGACCCTTTCTCTCCTTCTCTCGTTGCTGCAGTAACTGTTGTGCCAAGTAAGGCTAAGCTCTCCAGCCATGAATGCTTTTAGGTGGAGGTGAGGGGCGGTGACTGATGGGCGTGGTCTTATCAGAAAAATACAAAATCACAGATGTCTGGTATATGGTCCTCAGAACTGGCCTCCAGGTTACCTGGTACTCCTGTCAGACTTCAAAGTGGCGTAGGAGCCATTTCTCCTGTTAAGGAAATCATACACGACCAGCCTAGATCAGGGGGGACAGCCTCTGTGACTAAGAAAAGAAATAAAACCACTTCTCCATTATGTAGCGAAATGGATCAGCATCTAACAGAACTAGATTTACTACTTGAACTGTTAGTATAAGAAGAGACGGTTTTGTTGATATCTTTTGTTTGTAGTAAAATGTTATCAGAGGATCCTGTCCCTGGTGTCTTCCTATTACCATCAACTAAATCACTACTAGGTGAGAAATACTCCCCTTTCCCTCATGTTTTATTTCCTTCAGATTCTCTCGTGACCTTTTTCTGATACATATACATGTTCTTATGTTGCGTAGAAAGTTTGAACTCACTTCAATTAAAATTGGATTTTTTTATAAATTTTAAAAAGTATTTTAAAAATTGTGCCAAAGTCCCTGTACTATAGTACATGGTGATGGGCTGAATTTTGCTAAAAATGAAAAGGTGAGAATTCTTCATTTTTATAATTTTCCTGATATATATACATGTTCTTATGTGTGTTGAAAGTTGAGTCATGT